CATATAAAAAAAAAAAAAAAAAAAAAAAAGAATTGTAGAAAACCAAAATGGGACTTAGAAAAAGAAACCAGAAGCAAGCACAGAGCTGCTCCAACGGTGTTTCCCCTTCTCCTCACTGACAGGGTGGGAGAAGTTAAAATGACCATAAAAAGGGAAGCCAGGAAGGTCCTCGTAGGTACGGGGACTACTTTATCTGTTCCTAACACACCCGGCTTAAGTTGCCTCCTCCTTCAGAATAAAGCTCTCATGTTATTCCTCTTGTTTGCTTTTTGAAAAATAACATTAATTGGTTAGAAAGGTAACAGATTCCTTATGCTACAAACAGAAAATATGTATTTTGCAGGCACCCCAAAATTAATTGCAACATTAGGCCTACAGTGGAATCATGAATAAGTTCCCCAAAGACAGAGAGCGTACAGATCACATGCTCTGATTAGGACAAAACAAACAGAAATGGACAACAGTAAACAAAACAAAAAGTTCAATCACACAGACACTGAAAAATATAAATAGAAGGTTTTAAAACTATGATCACAGGAACTCCAGAAAACAAAACAAAAATGAAGGTGCCAAATATCAGAATCTTAGAACTAACCAGAAAAAAATCAGGGGAATGATTAACAGAGCCAAAGTTGGCCCTTTAAATAAGTCCACAAGTCTTTGGCTTTTTAAACCATGGGAGGGGTAGGGCAAAGAGGCAGTATGAACTTATAAATTAAGAATAAGAAAGGCAAATAACTACACACAAAAATTACATAAATTAAAAGAGATCATTTGTGCAAATTAAATAAATGGGAAGATTTTAAAAAATATAAATTACCTAAACTAGATCAAAAAAGGCAATAATGGGAAAAATTCAGTCCCAAGGAGTTTCATAGAAACAATTTAAATAATATAAAAGCTATGGATTTAATATTTTCTTAAATATAAAGAAAGTCTTTTTAAAATAAAGCTAGCATAATTCTGATATCAAAACCTGACGCTTCCCTTCATGTCTAAAATAACCTGTCCTCCCACCTATGGTAGGCCTGGAAGGCCTGCATCCAAGGCTGCCAGGCACCTCTGTCACACCTGTCCTGGCCGAGGTGAGCTCCTTGAGCAGAAAGGCCCCATTTCCCCTCCACAGGGTCCCGCAGCTCCCGACCTAAAGTAATTGCTCAGAAATGCTCCCTTTGATGAACGCATGCATCTCCCAGTGAATAAAATCGATGATTAAGCAAATGGAAAACAGAAGGCTATTGGTGAGAGTGGATAAACCGAATTGGAAACATTTAGGCTGGTCTCCCTTTGTACACCTGAGTTGTCTCCAGGGACCTGCCTTGCCTCTTCTGTCAGGGATTCTGAATAACACTTGCTAATTACTGGCATTACTTGGAAACTGCTGGGAAAAGTCGAGGTGCCCTTCCAACCTTGCCTGCCCCTCGCCCCCCACCCCACCCCGGTCACGGCATGCGGCGAACAGGTCTCACCCGGGTCATGGTGGCCTTCAGCATCACCAGGAGCAGCAGGGCCCCCTCGGTGCACAGCCCGGAGCTGAGGACTTCTTCCATGCGGTGTGTCTGCAGGAGCCCCTGCAGCATGGCATCTAGGCTGTCCTGAAAGAGGAGGCAGGGCTGCAGGGACTGCGCTGCCCCCGAGGCTGGCTTCCAGCCAGTACGCTGAGTGTCCCAAGGGGTCCATTTGAAAGGCAGAAGAGCATGGCAATACCCTAGGTGGTGGGAGCCTGAGGGAATTCAGCCCGCTCTGTGCATAAGGGAAACACACACGTCCAAGAAGCGCCGAAGGCCCCCCAGCAACTTGTGTCCAGTTTAGTCCTAGTTGGACAAATACTGTCCAGTCAACTCTGCTGACTCCTAGTAATGAGACTACAGAAGCCAGCTGAGGACCTCAGTTCAGGGGAGTCTCAGACTGCGGTGGGGGAGCACCGTGACAAGCAGGTGACCTGACTTGGTCTCTTTAAAAGTGAGCGTACAGGGTGGGTCTGTTCCTGAGATGCTCAGTGCCTAGAGAGAGGCAGACGTGTACACGTGTCTGTGTCGCAGAAGGCAAAGGTGCACCGAGCACAAGCAGGAGGGCTCCTTCTGTCTAGGGGGCGAGGCAGGTCCGTGGCAGAAAGGGCTCATTAAAGGCACAGGGGGGCAAGCACAACGCAGTGGGCCCTCTGGGAGGTGACCGGGGAGGGCAGGCAAGTGAGGCAGCTGGCAGCTGTGGGGCAGAGGACTGGGGACATGTAAGATTTGAATTAGAACATAGGGGAAGAACAGGGACTCACTAAGGTGAGGCCGTAAACTGAGGCTCTGATCTGCAGTGGCAGCAATCTTTCTCCCCCCCCCCC